CACGCACACACACACACACACAAACACAACCTTTTATGTGTTCAGGGATTGCCTTGTGCAGAGGATTTTTAAAAAAAGAACAAAAACAAACAGTCATGACCTCATGGGGCTCGCATCTAAAGTTGGAAACAAACATTAAGACACAACTCTACCTAAAATCCAAACCTAAGTATTCCATGGTCTCCCCTGACCACCCCAGGTCACAGCAATCTCTCCCATTCCCTCCCGTAAGAGCTGCTCAAAATCAGGAGTTACAGAGCCGTGAATAGGTCAGTCTCCTGGCCCTCTGGTCCTTTGTCTTCTGAGGGAACTCCTATGACACTTGTTACTTTTGGACATCTGCCAGAACAGATTATAGCTTTGGAGAAGCAGGTCCTTCTTAATGAAAAGCTTTGCAATTGTTAGGCCAGGTCTGGTGTATAGTTTTTTATTCAGCACTAATCTTCCCAGAAGAGTTTGCACTTATTGCTACCAATGAATTTTGTTCTTTAAAACTTAGTTGCTAAAGTTAGTGGTTGCTCAAACCTATTTTTCAAATACCAACAAGTCTAGGGGTGTAGTAGATCAGTGGTAGAGCACTTGCCTAATATATATGATGCCGAGCTGCAGTTGCAGTGCTTTCCTTAGGAGTAGGGCAGCTGTTAAAATACACAGTGCTAGGAATTAGTTTCTTACAAATTCATTAGGGAAGGAGGGTATTTTATCTCAAACCTTATTTTAAAAAAAGAGTGAATATTGAATAGCAAAGTAGCTGTGGTCCGTTTCAGCCCCCACCCCACCCCCAGCCCTTTTATGCAGGTCCAGGGGCTTGAGCTTATGGCATGGATGCTGTCCCTGAACATTTTTGCTCCGAGCTAGTGTGCTGCCACCTGAGCCATGGCTCTATTTCTGGCTTTTGGGTGGCTGATTGAAGATGAGTCTCACAAACTTTCCTGACCTGGCTTCAAACTGTGATCCTCAGATCTCAGCCTTCTAAGTAGCTATGGTTACAAGTGTGAGCCACTGGTACCTGGTCAGTTGAAGCTGTTTAAACTGGCCCAGGAGAGAAGGAATACCCATCCGATTCTGCTTGGAGTGAACTCTACAACCCAGCACAGAAGTTCACAGTCTGAATCTTTTATCTGCAACCTTGGGTAGAAGACATGAACTTGGGCTTTGTTTTTCTAAAAGCCAAAGGAGGAAACAAAGTGGGGTGTCAAAGCCCCAAGTCTCTAGATCCTCATTTGTGTGAATTCCAGACCCAAGAGCTCCAGAGTCCATAATCTACAGCCAAGGGGAACCCCATTCCCTGCTGTTCCCTGGGAAGCCCTTAATGAGCTCCTGCTACTTCTTCCTCTACAAACTGCTGCTAGTGAGGCCTTTTGAAAGGTCACGTGCCTCTCCAACAGTGCTTAAAGAGCTATTGTTATTTTTTCTGAGTGCTGGAGGACAAATAAGTCTTCTAAGGAGCTGGCGACCCTGGCCTTGGCCAGCCTGAGCCAGGCGGAGAGGCCAGGAGGGGCCCACGTGCTTGACTTCTTGCCTTTGGTTCTTGTGTCTCTTGTATTTCTTCTTCTTCTTCTTCTTTAATTATGCCCTGCTTAAGGAAAGTGCTGTTATACAAAGGCTTAAGAGTGAGAATAAGAGTTTTGTGAGTTCTCAAAACCCTGTCCCTTCTAACCAGGCCACTGGTTATGTTAGTATGGTGTATTAAGCAAAGTTTGGGAAAACTTTTAAATGAAGGCATAGAGTAGATGTGATTCTGTTGCATTTTTATTCCTTTCTGTAATGGTTTAGCCACTGTTGGTATTGAAACAGGATGGTGTACATTTTGCAGTTTCACTAGGTATGGAACCAGTTTGCCTCAGTTCAGAACTAATGAAAGCTCTGACATTTGGAGAGCATCCAAGATTTGATTTCTTTGTGTTTTTTTAAAAATAAATTTACTTTTTATTTAAATAGTTGTACAAAGAGGCTTCAATTCAACATGTCAGTTTATGTATACAATGTACACGATTTCATTTCTGTATCTGCTCCTGCTGGCAGGTCTGCTTACAAGGGACCTCTAACCTCCCCTCCCACACAGCATTACAGATGTCTTAACAGCCTTTTCCTAAACCATTAGGATTATCGTACAGTTCTCACCAGCTGGATCTTCTAATTGGAAATCAGGTGGTTCTCTTATTGAGATCTCTCAAAAGTATCTCCATAGATCTTGTTAAGATATGCAGAATCACATGGCCTGGACACTTCAAATATGTGAGTTTATAGACTGATTATTTCTAGAGAAATGTAATACTGGAAAATTACTGAAAACAGGGCACATAACAAGACTCAGAGATGGGGGGCAAGGGAAGGAAGGGTGAGAGGGAAGGAAGGAAAGAAGGAAGGACAAATACTAATTTCTTGGAAACAAGACATTAAAAAAAATCCAGTTCTATACTATGATTACCTTTCCTCTAGAAAACCAATAAAAAATTCAGAGGGGCAGTGAGCTCTCCCTGATTTGTTTTGAGTTGTATTTTGGTTTACAATTGGGGATGTTGCTTCTCCAACTTTATGTAGTACTGGATCATTTTTCACCTAATCCTTCATAGACTCCAGACAAACAGAAAGATAATTACTGAAAAAAGAAGTTAAAAATACAAAGATGTAGCAGGCTTCTGTTTTTATGTTGGAGACATATAATTGTTTTGTAATTTTGGCATAAAAGTTTCTAAATAATGCAGGGTATGTATGTGTGTGCATGCATACACACACACACACACACACACACACACACACACACACTTCACCCTGGACTAAAAGCAGTTACAGATTGGCCTACACTTTAAGAAACACTGTTCTAGTGTATCATGTCTGTATCTGCATACCCACATAAACATTTAAGTGTGTTGGCCTGATTCCTATATAACGTACCATAGATTAACAACTTTATATGAGAATTAAATGCACGCACAAGGTCTTTGGCTAAAGGGAGTGTTTTGGAGAAGTATTTAAGTGCCCAAATTGTAAGCAAATAAAAATAGTATAATTATGAACGTAGTTATGTGTTTCAAAACCCCAATTGTCTACTTAAGCTTCTGATGTATGAAGTAGAAAGTATTCTGCAGAGTGAAATGAAACCACATCCATTCCTGTTCATCCTCAAGTTTAAATGAACAGATACTTGATTCACACAGGAAATGTCCTATGCAAAATAGATACCCAAATGAGACTTATAGCCCCAAACAGTAGGGACTGTGTCACGTGAAGTGTTAGAGAAGCCAGTTGTTACTGTTAGACTTCCTTGTCTTGAACAAGTTAATGGCAGGCCTGGTCTTTGGTCCTAGTGATTGACAGCCATTTTTGTTAATGCTTACAAAAGGAGGGGAAATGTCTCATACACATAACTTCACATTCTTTGTCAGCATGAACAGATCTCAAACTGATGCTGATTTGGATAGGTTGCAGCTGTCTTCATCTCTCCCAACTGGATACTGGGGCATCAGAAGTCAGTTATCCCTCGTAGGATTGTGTGCCAAGCACTGTGTCCCCTGAATGAATGTCTGCTTGATGGATAGCATGGCAAAGAAAGGAAGAAAGAAGAAAGAGAAAGAAAAGAAAGACTGTTAGTTTTATCTTTAGAATGAGACACTGAATTGAAAAGACTGATGAGGTCTAGAAGATGATCAAGCTTCTGAGAAACCAGACTTCAGTTTGTGAGTGTCCCTCTTGGATCTCGCAGAGTGCCGAGGCCGTGTAGATGTAGATGTGGAGGGAGCTAACGAAGGAATCATAGAGGCCTATCAGCCAGCTGGAGCAAGCTAGTGAAAGATAAATAGCATTTAGAAGAAAATCTGGATAACCACCAAGCAATTGTATGTCTACGGCGATACCACAGGAGTAAGTCTTATTTGGAGAGGATTAGGGCATGTTCAGGAGTGAGTGCTGTAGAGAGTGAGGGAGCAAGCACAGGCCTGGCTTAATTACAAGCACGTCTCTTAGTCTGGATAGCAGGAGAACATTCTATACTAAATGATTAGAAAGTGCGGTCTGTGAGACGGAGGCTGCTGGCCTTGAGATCCTTCTGTTTGGACAGTGACTTTGTTTAAGGAGGTGATGATTGTGTGGCCCTAGAGAGTTGGAAGGGTTACCATCTAAAAGGTGGCAACCAGCCAGAAATTCAGCCCATTATCCAATTCTGAGTTCTGAGATAATGGGGTCCTTGTTCCTTTGAAATACATATGTATTTCTAGAACCACAGTAGGTACTTTGGTATGAAATGTCTCAAGTACCCAAATAGCAGTGCTTCTAGTCAGCAAATTACTTTAAAATTTTAAGGCAGTTGAATTCAGATTTGTCTGTGTGCAAGTGAAATGGAGCCGAGGAGAAACTTAGGCTGGGAAGCACGCATTCCTGCACTTGCACAAGGATGAAAAGCCGTGGCAGCTTGGTCTCTGTGGTCATTTAGCATAGGCCAAGTGCTTCACCACATGTCACCCAACAGGCAGGAAGGCGCTGTGCATAATGAGGAAGGAAAAAGCATTTGGAAAGCACACACAGTTCTACCAACATTGTATGCTTCTTTTAATTGTTCACAATGTGTTCAAGCTGTAATTTATGACACCTATGTCTGTTTAGGTCATGACATTGTGTGTTCTTAAGCTTTAAAAATAAATCTATTTGGGGGAGGGAAATTGAACCTGCACGATAATGTTAGGCATGTGAACGCAATCACATGAGCTGAGAAAGTCAAAATCACGGTTTCCATGGCAACTCCTAACTTGTCTGGGTCGTACACATTTCTCAAGAAATACATTTGCCAGACTACCTAGTGATAAAAATTGCTCCACAGGCACATGAGAGTAGATTTCCCAATTCTCTCTTCTTCTCAAAGGTCTTCCCCCAATACATTCATCGACTTCTAAATATACCAGCAAGAAACTAAAGTGTAAGCCCTGACCTCTAGTCAGTGTCTTTTTACAGTGGAAATTAAGGTTCGTGTGACTCATTCCGTTTCCTGCTTTCTCCCTTGCAGATATATGTTGGGTAAAGGAGGAAAGCGGAAGTTTGATGAGCATGAAGATGGGCTGGAAGGCAAAATTGTGTCTCCCTCTGATGGCCCATCCAAGGTGTCTTACACCTTACAGCGCCAGACTATCTTCAACATTTCCCTTATGAAACTGTATAACCACAGGCCCCTGACAGAGCCCAGCTTGCAAAAGACTGTTTTAATTAACAACATGTTGAGGCGGATCCAGGAGGAACTCAAGCAAGAAGGCAGCCTGAGGCCTGTGTTCACCCCTTCCTCCCCGCCCAACGACTCGCTGAGCAGCAGCTACCGGGAGGCCCCACCTGCCTTCAGCCACCTCTCCTCTGCTCCTGCTCACCCCTGTGACCTCGGAAGCACTACGCCCCTGGAGGCCTGCCTCACCCCTGCCTCGCTGCTTGAGGAGGAGGATGACACTTTTTGCACTTCCCAGGCTATGCAGCCTTCAGCTCCTACCAGACTCTCCCCTGCAGCCCTCCCACCGGAAAAGGACAGCTTCTCATCTGCCTTGGACGAGATTGAAGAACTCTGCCCCACATCTACCTCCACAGAGGCCGCCGCAGCAGCAGCAGCAGCAGCAGCGACTGACAGCCTGAAAGGGACCTCTAGTGAGTCCAGCGTCCAGAAACCCGAAGGGCACCAGGAGGGCCGCACAGATGACCCCAAACTGATGGACTCTCTGCCTGGGAATTTTGAAATAACCACCTCCACGGGTTTCCTGACAGACTTGACCCTGGACGACATCTTGTTTGCTGATATTGACACGTCCATGTATGATTTTGACCCCTGTACATCTGCATCAGGGACGGCCTCAAAAATGGCCCCCGTGTCGGCCGATGACCTTCTCAAGACGCTGGCTCCGTACAGTAGTCAGCCCGTCACCCCGAGTCAGCCTTTCAAAATGGACCTCACAGAGCTCGATCACATCATGGAGGTGCTTGTTGGGTCCTAAGACCCGGGCACCCCGTGATCATGCCCACCCAGACCCTGTGAGCGTCCCTACAACCTTGACAGTTCTCCTCACTGTGCATGCACCCTTGCTTGCCTTTTTTCAGAGAAAATGAAAATTTTACAAAAGGATCACACTAGTTTTTGCTTTGAGCAGAGTTTGGAGTGCCTTCATCCGAGTATGACCACTTTCAATGAGCTTTGGAGTGGTTCCTCAGACCTACTCCTCTGGTACAGGAAAGAATACATTTGAAGACAATGTTGCTAATGTTGAAAGACACACAGTTCAGGTGAAGCACAAGGAGTAAGGTGGAAAAGCTGTACATTGCATGTGCATATTTGTCTATTTTTTCTATAAGTTTTATTGCAAGAGGTAAAAAAAGAAAATATATATATTATTTAGATAATCTGTACCTTTTCTGGCATTTTTGCCCTGTATAGGTTGACTTGGCAATTCAGCCTTTTTAGAGGCATTAACTACTCCTCGTAAGTGTTGCATTTACATGGCTGTTTAGAAAACTGCTGCCCAAATTTATTTTATATTTTTGTACAGATTCTGCAGTTTATGATATTGTTTTTCTAAAAACAAATGCTGTTTATACATACAAAATAGCTATTTTGATAGGATTTGCTCACATAGTTCCTGCAAACTTCAGATGTACAAGTTGCACTTGTACTTTTATAGAGTTGTAATGTTTTCTATGTGTATGGTGCAAGAAAAATTTGGATCAAATCAATCTGCAGTTGATCTCCCCAAATGCAAACACACACGCCCCACATACATACAGCGCTTTAAGAAAGGGCCAGGTGATAGATATCACACCCAAATTTCACAGGCACCAGTCCCTTGGCATGACTGCCCGCCAGTACTGTGACTTTCAAAGCCAGAGCTGAGTCTGCTCATCAAACTTGCATTAAGCAGTTGGCGGGAGATGGTGTTGAAGTGATGGTCTCCTTAGCTCCCTCTTCTGAGGAAAGGCTATCATTTTACTTAAAAGTGTATAGTTATGCCAAGTTTGCTCTTTCAATTATAATTAATTTTTTTTAAGGAAAACCCAAGTCTTTCCTTTTTTGACATAGTTTTTATGGTGAACCCAAAATTTTACGTAACAGCATTTTATGAAAAGCAACCAAGTTCTTCCTAGAGCTGAGCTCTGTTGCAATGCTTAGGGCTCCTAAAGAAGAAATTCTCCCCAGAACGCATCCATCATGTTGGTAAATTGCCTTTTCCAGTGTCCCTTCTCCAGAGCTTTTGTTCCCTGTTGCTAAGAGCTACACATGGCATCTTTATAATCTTCACAGTGAGCTTGGCTCACCTCGGCCGGCCCGGGATTCACCCTTCCAGTTTTGTGACTCTAGAACCTGGAGTCTGTTACCTTTCATCAGAGCATCCAGTCTGGTTGCTTTCTTTAATCAACTGCCGATTTAACTACACTTTACAAGGCTGTTATACCCAAATACACAGATGGGAATTTCTATGCATGTTCTCCTCCTCTTCTGCCCCTCCCCTCCCCCCAGGACACCCTTAAGAAGTAGCTTTTTATTCCTAGTGGTGTACATTTAATTTTTAAACATTTTTGCAATGTATCATGCTTGTTGCTGAAATTGTTTATGGCCTTTCTGTTTCAGTTTTTCTCTTTCTTCCAATGGTACTTTAGCTGTTGAGTGCAGGTTACAACCTATATTGTTATGCAGATGGCTTCTTTAGGAATAACTTTTATATTTATTTAAAAATTTTAAATTATGGGATTTTGTTGTTGTTGTTGTTGTTGTTGTTGTCGTTGTCGTTGTTGTCTTTGTCGTTGGTCATTTGTCAATATTCAGTCACCAATTCTGCTCACTTCTTGCCATGGGTAAAAATTGGGTCTTTCTGGCCAATTAAAAAGAGACAACTTTATAAATGGCACTTTAAACAAGCCATAGTTTTATTTTTCTAATGCACATGGCAAAGCAAATACATTTGTGATGAAGGAACTGCTCATCTAAACAGGATGTACGAATGATATTAAATCTTTCCACATTCTACTTTTCCTTGTTTGAATGTGTTTTAAAGACTAATTATCAACACAGTAGAGCAGTGAGAAACTGATCAAATTGCACTTGTTCTCTTACAAGTAACCTCCGTGCAGACACCTCTTACTGCTCCACATGTGGACCAGGGACCATATGATTAAGGTGAGGGTCGTTGTAGGTGCTTCCATGTCACTGTGCCTGTTTGTTTGAAGAGCTTCCCTTTCTTGTAGAGAACAAATCTGCCCAGACTTCATGCCTTGTAGAACTGGAGTACCCTGTGAACTGCCCACATGCTGCATACATTGCCATACATGTGCATATCCAATAGTGTTGATTAGTCCCAACAATTACAGGGTAGAAAGCAGTTGATTTGCCATTGTCAAAAACTAACGTACAGTAACTTAGAACAACTATACTTTCTTTGGATTAGCAAATGGTGTGTTTAAACAAGTCCCATATGTTGGGCAGCAGTTCAAATAAGCACAGAGGATCATTGCCCAAACTTGGTTCTCGGACTCTAGTGTATTTGCAAGGCTGGGTTTCAAAATCAAAACAAAACCCCCCAACAACAGCAGGCAAGTGCTTTTCAACTGACACCCTTGCTGTAAATTTTGTGATGCTCAAAGTTTTAACAAGACATACATGGGGAACTAGCCCATTTTCAGAAAGCAAAGCCATCCTGAGTTCTAATTGTCTTTCTGTCCTATTTTTACTTCGTGCTGTCCCAGCAGAGAAGAGTTGGAGCACGGTGGAATCTTCCAAGTCCCAGTTCTAGTGTGGGTTGTGCTTCCAGATGCCTCCTGGCAGCAGTGCCTCCCTTTATCAAGACATTGTGTCACATCCAGAGCCAGGCAGGCAACTTGAGAAAGATGTGCTGGGCAGGTCAGGGCTGGGCTGGGAGGGGTCATCTATTGACAGTGATGTGCAATGAAATGACAAGATGAGAGCAGAATCCTAAGAGCTTTGAATTTGAAGTGGTCTTTTTCCCATAAGTTATTTATTCTTTTTTTTTCCTGTGTAAATATATTTATTTTACTGTGGAGCTCTAGCAACATCTGGATGGTAACATGTGCAGAATGTATGGTAGGAATGTATTCTCTCGTAGGAATGTAAATCTGTATGAAAGGGGGTCTAAGCCAAGCCCCCTGGGACTCATTGAATGCACAGTCCACATTCATTTTTACTCTCATTTCTAATATGGGTCTATTTGAAATATGCAAAAGGTATGGATGAGGAATGTTTTAATACCTCCAAATTTTTAAGAAAATCAAGCGTCAAAGGGTTGATATTTTTTAAATTTTTCTTAGTAGCACCTTCTCTTAATGACAAAAGGGAGCCACGCTGGCATCCACATTCATACCACAGGGTGAGAATGGCAAGCCTCCTCCACCTCTGGAGTCTTCACCAATTGAGCTTTTTATCGCCATAGCCCCTTGGAGGAGTGCTCCAACCACCCTGAGGGCAATCAAGGAAACTTTCTTAACCGAATAAGCTCCAAAGAGCCAAAGTATCAACTTACGGATCATTTTTAAAGTTTAAATTTATTAACTACCTTTGTGGTAAACAATGAATTATGAATACCGCAAAGGGCAGCCTTCTTAAATGACAGATTTAAAAAAAATAGAGATATTCCACTTTGTGCGGTGATTGTTAGTCTACTCTATATGAGTTGTCTTAATTTCAAAACCTTGCTGTTACAAACTGGACCTTTATACACTTTCTGAAGATATCAAAAAAAGCATATTTAACCTGTAACTGTAAATGGTTACCTTCTGTAACTACCCCGCACCTGGATGGCATCAAGGTGTGCGCGCGTGCGTTCCTGCTTGTGTACAATTATTTTCAATGCTTCCAAGAATGAGTCTAAATGATTCTGGAAAATTAGGATTAAAAAAATTGTTGGAGTCAAAGCCAATAAAAGTTTCGGACTTTCTCTTGGGAATAAGTTTGGAAGAGAAGTGCAGTCCACATGTGCAAACAACGGAGATTTTGAAAAAGATGTACATAGTCATATGTTTGGTGCATGGGTTTTGAGGAAGGCTTTTTGTCAAAAAGGAGGTGTGACCTTTCCCCACAGACCTGAGAGCTGTGCCTTTTCTATGCAATATTACAGATGTCACATCGGAACCCAGAGGGCTGTGTTCAATGTAGGTTCGGGCTGTAATCTAAACAATTGAACAGATTAAATGTACATGGAAATGAGCAGTCTTACTTTTGTAGTTTTATATTATACAATAAACAGTTAAAAGATGAGAGAGGCATGTTTGCGGTTTTTCTTCTGATCGAATCACAACCACTTTGTTAGATGACCTTTAAGTGCACAGGGACCCTGTGCTGGTTAGTCCCAGCACTCTCCACAGAGCACCTGGGGCGTGTGCATGCCTCATACTCAGGACTTGCAACACTCATAGCCAGTCTCTGCCTTCCCCTGGCAATCAGTATCTGCCAGCATCTGTCACCTCCCACGTCTCTCTCTGCCTTCTTCCCCATGGGGCCAAACCCCCACCAACTGGCATCTCATCGTTCTAGACTCTTTGTCCCTTCTGCTGCTGCTTTCCATCCCCACCACTTTTCCAGCCCATGTCTCCTGTCCTTGTGATCTCCACTATTGTACCTGCTTCCAGTTGTCCTTCCTGACACCTGACATCCCCAACACTAGAGTTCGTGTGCTGAAACACCAGCCATTCATGACTGTTTGCAGGCGCCCTGGATACAGCTGGGACCCTTTCTGCCATCTTTGGGAGCTAAAGGGGATCCTAGATCACCTTGGATGGAGGCCTGGGATCTAAGCTGCCTGGCCCACAACTGTCTGAACTATATAATAATTGGTTGGGGGACAGAGATGGAGATATGGCAGGATTTGAAAAGGGGTTCCAGGTATTCAGTGGGATGTGGTGAGGGGTGGGGGATTTGGGTTAAATTGTGTTTCAATACCTCAAAATGTGACTTTCGCTCAGTTATAGGATCTTTGCAGAGGTAATCTGTTAAAATGAAATTCCGTGGGCCTTAATCTAATACAACTAGCAATGTGTGTGTGTGTGCACATGCATGGTTTAGTACTGGGGCTGAACTCGGCCTGGACACTGTCCCTTAGATCCTTTGTTCAAGATTGATACTCTACCACTTGAGCCACAGCTCTAATTCTGTATTTTTGGTAGTTAATTGGAGATGAGTGTCTCACGTATTTTCTTGTTTATGTTGGCTGTGCTCCTCAGATCTAAGACTTCTGAGTAGCTAGGATTACAGCCATGAACCACCAGCATCTAGTCACAACTACCTACTGTGCTTATGGAAGCAGGCAGGACCTGCACATGGGAAAGAGCATGTGCAGCTGGAGGCAAAGATCAGGGTAGTGCTTCTACAAGTCAAGGAGTGCCAGAGGTGGCCACAAGCAGCTGGAATCTAGGGGGGAGGCCTGAGTCTTTCCTACAGTCCCCAAAGGAACCTGCCTGCTAACCTCCCAATCTTGGACTTGTAGTTTCCAGAAAAGTGTGTTTCTGTGGCTGAAGCCTCCCAGGTTGGGCCTTTTGTCACAGTAACCCTACCTAGTAAACTGCCCTGGGGACTGGGGGAAGAGGGCAGGCAGAAGACCAAAATGACCTTCAGTGTCCAGTGGCTACCTCACTAGGGGCAACTGGAAATGAGAATCCTCAGTAGAATGGCTCCCATCTGGGATTATAAACCTCAACAATTCATTATTGATGCAGCTTTGGAAAATCAACTTCTGGGCTTATGAGGACAAGATTCAGCTATCAGCCCCCAAAGCCCTTTGAAAATATTGGCAGTACAAAAAATGTTTGCAATCTTAATGCCCAACCTCTCCTGCCTGGCACTCTGTTGGGCATGTTCTTTTTCAGCCAACTCCAGCCACAGACTCCTGCTATTCATCCTGTATCGAATGAAATCACACCGGACTCAGCATGTCTGGGAGTAGGGGAGCAGAGTCCTCTCCTTGTAGGAACTCTGCGCCCAGCACACAAGAGCCCCTCATCAGTGCCTTCCTCCTTCTACTTCAAGGTTGAGCAACTTCTTAAATGGCACATTTAAAGACAAATGGCAAAGCTGAAATTGAGGCCTCAGTGTCTCTTGTGTGTGTCTCTGTCTTTCCCTCCCTTTCCTTGCCTTCCCCTCCTCTTCCCTCCCTCTGGTCTCATTCCCTTCCCTTCCCCTTTCCTCCCTCCCCCTCTCACCTTTCTCCAATGGTGAGATGGAGCCAGGATTTCATGTATTGTAGGCAAGCATTCTACCACTCCAGCCTTAATAAGTATGTGTATGTATGTACCTTGAATCCAGACCTCCAGATCTCTTCCAGCTTTTTTATCAAGATTATGCTCAACCACTTGAGCCATGCCTCCAGTTTTGCCTTCTTGGTGGTTAACTGGGGATAACAATCTTGTGGACTTTCTTTCCCAAACTGGCTTTGATCCTCAGATTTTAGCATCCTAAGTAGATAGGATATAGATGTGAGCCAACAGTGCCTATCCTAAATAAGATTTTCTCTTTTTTTGCTGATCCTGGGGCTTGAACTCAGGACCTTAACACTGTCCCTGAGCTTTTGTGCTCAAGGCTAGCACTCTGCTACTTGAGCCACAGCTCCACTTGTAGCTTTTTGGGAGGGTTAATTGGAGATAGGAGTTTCAGATTTTCCTGCCTGGACTGGCGGCTTTGAACTCGATGCTCAGACCTTAGTCTCCTGAATAGCTACATTTACAGGTGTGAGCCATGAGCACCTAGTTTTAAGTCCTAGTTTTGTTTGTTTGGAGGAAGGGTCTGTGTTGCCCAGCATGGTCTCAAATACCTGTTTCAAGTGATCATGTGTCTTCCCCCCACCCCTCTCTTCTAAGTCCTTCAATGCATTGCCTGTCTTCAGCTTGAGGCTGAGCAGGAGGGGGAAGTGGCAGGAGACTGTGCACTAATGCTGCAAGACCCTCTCCTCTTCTCAGTAGAGGTATGGACATCTCCCCAGGCATTGCCCTGAAGATCAAGAGGAAGAAGATGTCCCCATGGGGCAAGAAGTGAACCATGAGTTGAGAGAGTTTTTTCAGAGTTGAACGCCTCCCTGGGCTCTATCCTCCTGACTCTGAGCTTGGGCCAGTCACTGATCTCAATGTTTGGGTGATGGGGGACCAAGGAAGGGTACAGAACATGCATGGTTCTCCCTGGCTATATGCCAGACTCATCGTTGGGATGGGGGCTATACACCTAGAAGTAAGATCTAGGTCTTGAAGATTTCCTAACAGCTCCTGGCTGGAAGAGCCACGGCCTAAAGTATCAGGCTAGGAGGTCTGGAATTGCCTGGCTGTGTGCATGACATGGGAGCCACCTATGCTGGCATTGTTTCTGGCTCCAGGCTGCTCCTTGCTCTCCAACCTCTCCAACCCCTCTGCAGCAGGCTGGCAGTCCCATCCCTCAGTGCTCCACATCCCCCCCCCCCCACACCTCAGGTAGGAAGGCCAAGCTGCCAGCTGCTAAAGGCCTATTGTTCAGCTATGAGAAGAAATGGCCGCAGGAACCCAGAGAGAGGCTGGAAGCAGGGTGTGGAGCAGAGGGACTGAACTCTGAACTCTGGCTTCCTGGTGCCTGACCCAGGAGAAGTTAGAGACAAATGAGCCCCTCTGCAATCTGTCCCTGCCCTCTTAGGGTTTAACAGGCGTCCTTGCTGCTCATCCTCCTCTCAGGACCCAGTGTGGGTGGAAGTGTAAGGGAGGACAGGGCCACTTCTACAGACAGATTTATTGTCAGCTGTCTTCCAGGTAAGTGAGTGAAGGCCGTGCCAGATGACCAGCCAGGTGCTTCAGCATGGGGCTCACTACAGCATGGGGCTTCAAGTGAGCCCAGTCCACCCTCATGAACAGTGTCACCAACTGGATCTGGAAGGATCCAGTGATGACGGTGACATTTGTGCAGACCTTAATGGCATACAAAGCATCCCTCAGACCTTCCACTCTACCTGATACTTGTGCCAATGCCAGAAGGTTGGTGGGGAGTGAGGAAGTCTGAGTCAGCTTAGGTGTGGAGGGGTATGCAGCCCCCTCTGTTCCTAGCTCTTGGGGTGGGGGTTAGGGGGGTTGTACGGGGCGTGAAGAGCCTGGCTGGACATCTAGCTATAAAAAGAGCAGAGTCCACAGTGAGCCTTGGAGTTTTATATTCTGCTCTTAGCAAGTGCTCTGTGGGCGTGGAAGCCATTCAGAGATTGGATTGTACCCTTTCAGTATCCTTGCACACTCAACCATAGCTGAGGGGGCAGAAGTATCCCTTCTCTGGTCCAGCCTCTGCCTCCTCCATGGAGCCATGCCAGGAATCCAGTCTAAGAGTAAGGTGGACACTTAGGTGTCAACAAGGACCCAGCTAAGAGATGAATCCTCGGTCAGTCAAGCCCTTAAGCCTGGACAATACAAATGCCACTTCCTTCCCTTGACTCAGTCCCTCTGTGTCTCTGTCCTTCATTTCCACTTGAGAGTAAGCGTTGTAATCCTAGATAGTCAGGAGGCTGAGATCTGAGGATCTCAGTTCAAAACCAGCATGGGCAGAAAAGTTGGTGGGACTCATCTTCAATCAGCCAAAAGCCAGAGGTGAAGATGTGACTCAAGTGGTAGAGAACCACCTTGAACAAAAAACTCCAAGCAAGAGCATGAGGCCCTGGGCTCAGGCTCCAGTACTGGCACATGTGTGTGGACCTACGCGCACGCATGCGCGCGCACACACACAAACCAAAAAATTAGTGAACCTTGCTGCCACAAGCAGCTGGGTCTGCCCAGGGACATTAAGTGGCACAGGCCTGTCTGTCCCAGAAAGGGCTTAGTTTTCAGGGTTTGATATGCTTGACTCTAAGACTTTGGGGTAGACCTGGCAGGACAAGGTGGGATGGTTCCAGGGTTTGGTTCATTGAGGTCTTGCAACCTCTGAGTTACAATAAGAGGCCTAGGTCTCCCTGAGGGGGCCTCATTGCTAGCCAGGGCCAGAGGCTACCCCTGAGTGCTTGGCTTCCTATCAGTGGCTGCCAGGTCCCTGGCTCTGGGGACATTGAGGTAGAAGATTTCCCTCTGTTTCCAGGTTGAGCTGAGCAGCTGTAACCTGTAGACATAGAAGGACATTCTCCACAGAGGCAGCTTGCCCTGGGCAGGTGGATAGAAGGAAGCCTTAGTGCTAGCAAGGAGTGGGAGAAGAGTCTTGAGTACTGTGTTTTCTCACACAAGCACCCAGGGGTCATTCAGGCTGGTAGGGATGGGTCTGCGTTTCTAGCAGGCTCCCAG